ACCATTTTCTATCAAATTCAACATAGACAATTTACCTATGAATAGAATAAATAAAAACAGTACTATGATATATAAACTAAATTCATCTACAATATTTTTATTTGACTTGTGAACGCACTTGCTACACATGTGAGAAGTAAACACAATAACATCGTATTCTTGAGGTTGGTAAATAGTTCTAATTTCATAGGATATCTTTCGTAGCCAGTTGATGATAGGTCAATAAAGAATTACACGATATTTATGGAGAATTTGCTTGTTAAGAATGTTCACAAGAGTTAAAGCTTTGCAATCTAACATTAATTTTAGGTAAATATTTGCGTATTGCCACGATATTCTTACTGATGTTTTCCTCACACTTAATTATTATGTGTGGTTATTGATGCCTTATATCCCGCAATATATATCACTAAAATAGGGTGGACATGAAATATTTTAGGGGAATTACAAACTTTTATAGGGGTAAAGTTATCGTTTATGGCTTTTGAGTCACTGACAAAATGTCGCAAGTAGTTTGATTTGGTGCCTGTGTTGTAACCCTGTATTTCAAAAGCCTGTTCTCGCCCTCTACTATTCTTGTACGTAGGAACAATGCTTCTGTAACCCCTCATACCCCACAAACTTTGTGCCGATAGTAGTGAAGAGTGTAGGCGTGGTTAACTGGTCTTATGTACGAGCAGGTCTGGCTGTAAGCATCACTATCTGGGCAGAAATGGTCACTTTTGTGCGAAATCTGGGGGCTGAGGGGAGCCAGCAATACCACGACATAGAGCATGTATCCTTCTTTATCTGTAATTGTAATTCTCTTAACCCCTTGGCCCTAGACGATATTGCAGTGAAGTCACGAAGAACTTGAGCTGCTGCCCAGGTGATGTGAACATACCGTCAAGTGGGCAAATTGGCCACTGCCTGGGTGATGTGAACTGCCGTCATGAGTGAAGGCCAGGTTGTTGGATAAGATATGCCATGAGTGCACAAACCTCTTGGAGTGTGATTTGCCTTATTTGGCGCTTAAAAGGGGACAAGCATTATTCCTATCAAGAAACGAATGTGGAATGTAGTGCCTGGAAGAGCACAGGCTCCAGTGAGCATGCCATTTCCATGCTGCACACCATTTTCCTGGCCTATGTGACTGTTGGTGCAGGTTGTATTGAAAATTATGAAAAAATGTTCCTTTTTTTCTTTTTTTCTGTTTTTCTGGCACTGTTATTTACTACATTTAGAGATGATTTGGAGTCTGTGCAAGGAAAATAAGTTATTACCATCTGGATAAAGTAAATCAAAAGACAAATATGGACATTGGAAAACGGTGATAGAATTTAAAACGTTTACACAAAATAACTTGTCAAAGGGGAGGCACAGAATCTTGTCACTGCTCATGAGTGTTCCTGTGCGTCCGGCCTATGTGCTGCATGCACTGGATATTGGCCACTCATGCAACCCATTGCCCGGGTTTTCAGCTCTGTTATTTCTGTCATGCAGCCAGATTCAAAGGGTTAAAGAAATTAACAATATTTATAAAGTCAACAAAAGGTTTATGAGAGATTTTATATAAAACATTTAGAGTTAATAATCACAAGATTTGTTTTTATTACCAAAAACAATACAATATAGTGACTGATTCTATGTATATCAATCATATTTTACCATGCAATTTCCCTGGTACCTTTCATGTCCTCCACTGCTATGGCGGCCAAGAATGTGGGAGCTTGGGAGGTTTACGCACAATAAGTATTTTAATTTTGGAAACTAGAGACTTAGGCCCGTACTTTTAAAACCTTTCGCCAGTACTGGCGAAAGGTTTTGTTGGGACAGGAATTTCGTACTATTAAAAGCATGACAAGTGTTCACCAGGTGAACTTTCGCCAGGGCTGGTGAACGATCGTATTGGAACAGCCAGGCGAAGCAAAGTCGCAAGAGCTGTTTGAATACCATTTTCTTGCTTTCAAATGATAAATTAGTAACATATTTGTTTATGATATGATGTAGGAATCACATTGTAATTCTGAAATATCTTAAAATCCCCCCCCCCCTCACACACACACACACATACCTTCCCCCGCCTCCGAGATGACGTATTTAGATTTAGGTTGTTGTTATTTTGGTTATAGGGATAATTTTCATTTCACAAATGTTACCAAAAGTATTTTGATGTTGGCATGTATACTTTGGGCTATAGAAACATAGCTGTAGTGCTCCACCGCCCTATAATGAGCCATGTCTATTTATACCCTTGTAGGCCTACAGTCCAATATGTTAAATCAGTTAGGTATAGTAAGATGGTAATTAATATAGTATAGTATAAAGTATTTTTAAAACCTTTCGCCAGTGCTGGTAAGGCCTCCCTTACTCAGATGTTCGCCTGGCGTAGCTTTGCCAGGCGAACATCTGAGTAAGGGAGGCCTTACTTTTAAACCCAACTTTCTCCAGGGCGGGCGATCGCCATGCCTGGCAAACAAAAGGGATTGCCATGCGCAAACATCTTGCATTCCTCTAGCACTTTGGTGAATTTAAAAAATGCAGGAAACACAAATTTGGTACATCTGCAGTGCGTTATATAAACATGTAAGGAAATATATATTGTTGGCACATAGCAGAGATTTTTTTATATTTTATTACCTTACCTTACCTTACTTATATCATATCGCCTGATATTATATTACTTTACCATACCTTACCTAACATAATCTAAGCTTAATTATTAACCTCGGGAGAAGACGATAATGTTATATCCGTAATAGCCTCACTTTATACAAAGGAGTTAAAAATTAATCATTTTACTATACTTCACCGATATAAAATAGTTAACTGTTGGGCTACAAGGGTTAGGTTAGGTTAGGTTAGACACACCTCATTATAGAGCGGCGAAGTACTACAGCTATATTTCTATAGCCCGTAGTAAACATGCCATCATCAAAACACTTTTGGTAACATTTGTGAAAAGAAAATTATCCCTACAACCAAAATAACAACCTAAATCTAAATAAGTCATCTCGGGGATGGGGGAAGGAATACAGCTGATGTCTTGAGCTCTCGACTGGAACATCAAAGGTTTTGAAATAACTACGTATATACGTTATTTCATAATAAATTATGATTTTAAGATATTTTAGAATTACAATGTGATTCCTACATCATATCATACACAAATATGTTACTAATTTATAATTTGAAAGCACAGGAAAGGGAGGGCTCTCACGGCTTTGCTTTGCCAGGCTGTTCCAATACGATCGTTTGCCAGTACTGGCAAAAGGTTTTAAAAGTACGGGCCATAAAGTTAACCTTGTTATAGTATAAAGTATAGTATAGCATAAAGTATAAAGTTAACTTTATTATAGTATAAAGTTAATTTTTAACTCCTTTGTTATAGTATAAAGTTATTTTCAACTTCTTTGTTAAAGCATAAAGTTAATTTTTAACTCCTTTGTTATAGTATAAAGTGAGACTATTGAGACAACATTTTCGTCTTCTCTCGAGGTTAATAATTAAGTTTAGGTTATGTTATGTGCACTGCAGATGTAAACAAATTACCGCTAGATTTAGCAGGAATGCAAGATGTTAGCGCCTGGAGATCCCTTCGCCCACCCTGGCAAACGTTGGGTTTAAAAGTAAGGCCTCCCTCACTCAGATGTTCGCCTGGCGTAGCTTCGCCAGGCAAACGCCAGAACTGGCGAAAGGTTTTAAAAGTACAGGCCTAAGAGGAATCCACTAAAATCAGTGTGATCTGTTACAAGCCACTATTTTGAAAAATTACCATAAGACATTCTCAAGGTCAATCATAATGACAGTAGTATCAATAGATTCCTCTCACCCTCTACTATCCCAATATGTGGAAATTAAACTGTGGAAACCCCCCAATACCCACAATTTTGGCCATGATAACAAGAGAGGACAAGGATGGCACCAGGGAAATTGCAGGGCAGAATATAAATAATATACAGAGAATTGATCTGTATACTGTCAAATGCAGGGAGCTATGCTCCCTGCAGCCCCTCCATGTGGGACAGCTGATTCTTAACCCCTGTTGTAGATATTGAACAACAAAAGAAAACTGACTTTGTTTGAAAATACTATAATTCCTGTGGCCCAGTCTATACACAATTTCAGCACAGCTCTGCTCGTCTTTCACTTTGGCCATGTTTCACAGAAATGTCAAATAGACCTCCAGACCATATGGCCTTGGCAATTCCAACATGTTAGGAAAAGAAAGAAAATATAGTATTCCAGTAGGAAACTAGATTTATGGATAAAATGTATCTAATAAAACATTATAATGTACAAAGGCTAGAGATATCAATATTGTATGTATGCATATAGACAATATACTAATGTATCCGTATTACAATAATGTACAAAGGTTAGAGATATCAATATTGTATGTATGCATATAGACAATATACTAATATATCCGTATTACCATATATTGCTGATATTTGTGGAATTTCAACAAAATTAAAGTTGTATTTTCTAGGTTCAATATTTCTGTTATTACTGGTGAGCTTTCTGTTTTACTTACATTTATATAATTGTATGATTTTGCTCGTCATGCTGTTATTAACCATTTATTGTTGCAATCATATGCAAATCCAAAAAGATATTCCAGTGTTCTAGATATGTGGGTAATAGGCCAAGTTGGGAACCTCCAAGACCCTCGCTGCCCAGAAGGCAACCATCTCGAAAGTAAACATTGATTGTTTTATTTTACCGGTGTCTTTATTTTACACGTTGCATAGGTTTTGTAAATCTTTTGATGCATATTTAACTTACCTGCAACTGACAAACACAAAAATATCCTTTGATAACATCAGTAAAGGACCATAAAATTACCCATCCATATCTTGTGGTTGCCTGCAACTGTCATTGTTTACATACAAATGCTATTGTGATGTTATATCGTACTGCTCGCCCAGCTTCGCAGGAAGGCAAGATGAATGAGATGGACAACTTGTCCAGGACGAGAAAGTAGAGGTTCCAAATGGTCAAAACATCTTGTCCAACTTGTCTGGACTAGCAGGATGAGAAGTTTCGAATGCAGCACAAGTGCCTATCAAAATATAGAAGGAATATGCGAAGTAGGTTATGGAATAGTCTAATGCTGTGGGATCATTTATCTTTTCTTTTACCCTGCAGTTTCCCTGGTATCTATGTTGCCCTTCCCTGCTATTAGGGTCAGGTTTGTGAGTTATGGGGGAGGTTTCTGTAGGATAATTCTTGCATATATTAGTAGGGTGAGAGGAATCCATCAATACCAGTGTCATTATGATTGGGCATTTGTACCCAGCTTTAAGGTTAACAAATAAATATGTTTGGGAAGATGTGGTCTTGGATTTAACCCATTCAAGCCTTGTTGCATAGCAAAAATGTCCTTGTTAATGTATACAACAGGACTGGACATGTCAGAGGCTAAGTTCTCAACTCGAATGAATAAACAAGTAACCCCCATCCTAAACACACAACCTACCACAAAGATGAACATTCCTAACCCAGGAGTTTTTCCCCTGACCCCTCACAGATTGCTGTAGTTTCCTAGCTAGAGGCTCAGCCGCTGGACCCCTTTCCAGTCAATATTACTCCCTAGCCAGTGTGGTCCTTTTTTATACTTTATATTTCTCTAGCACTGGGCATTGTTTTTCACATCATTAGCCTTAATTCTAGCAGCTGGAATGATGCCTTGGGAGCATGGCCACGATTTAAACAACATACCAGACATGAAGAAGCACTTATAAAACAGCCAAGTCCCTGACAATTATAATTGAAAATTTTGCCTGTAATGAGTTATGGGGATTTTAGGAGGTACAGCCAATCAATGTGCAAAATACATGAATGCCACACAGTCTATCCCTATAATTTCCTGATGATACTTCATGCCCTCCTCACCTATTGGGTGTTGTATCAGCACTAATGTTGCCTAGCACATACAAAAACCACTATATATTCGCACTAGACATAACAAGGAATCCATAAACATATTTGCCTATACATATATATATATATATATATATATATATATATATATATATATATATATATATATATATATATATATTCAGCCTTGAAAATGCATGGACTTTTTCCTTCTAAGTCAATAAATGGCCATGGAGGTTTGTGAGAGTAAAGGATAAATGGCATCTGCATCAGTGGCTTGATTCAATACTTCAAAACATTTTGGACTTAAAGTAAGATAAAGTAGATGTTTGGCTTAGATGTTTGAAACTTAATGTAACATATGATTGATCATAGTTATGGTGGTAGTAAAGTGCACAATTGAAAAGTGACCATTCATTCTTACAAGACCTCTTTATTTTGTTGAATATACATTAGATAAATGTGTGTTTTTTGTTGCTATATAATACATAGAGGTCATGGTGTTGCTTGATGTGATCCTGTTGAAACAGATAGGAACCCAGTCATCCTGGTTTTATGTTTTGTTCATTGTAGTAGTAGTGGTAATAGTAGTTTTGTGTGTTTGTGTGTGTGTGTGTGTGTGTGTGTGTGTGTGTGTTTTTTGTAATGTATTTTGTTGAACACAGATGGCTCTACAAGGGTTCAGCCACCAAGGAATTAATTACTAGGCCTTAGTGACCACATGATTTCCCCATTCCTTGAATTTGTGTTGAAATCTGACCCCCCCCCCCATTGCTATTAACTCATTGGATCTGGGTACTTCACTGCCTGCACATGGGATAAAATTTGGGGATTAAGCCTACTTGGGTGGTGATTCTCACATGCTTCCTTTTTGCTGTGTTTATTTTTTCTGCATAAGCATTTTTGCCTTTTATTCAAGGTCTAGATTTATGTTTTATCAAGATGGTAATAGACTGTTTTCCTTGCACAAACTTCATAGCATCTTTCTAGGTTGTTTATAACTCTGTGAATAACAATAACAATAAGTAACATTTTCTTATTTATCATTTTTAAAAATATTTTTGTAATATTCAGATTTCTGTAATGCATCCTGCACTGGTAGGCATGAATAGGATTCTGGAATATTCTCATCATGACATTTTTTGTTGCTGTACTTGTGCCATATTCACCAAAAAAAATTCATGATGTGATGGTAATGTCCCTTGATCCGGAGTGTTGATATTGATACTTTTACTAATGTTATTGACATTATGATTATTATAATGTTATTGGAATACTAAGAATAAGAATAATAAAACAATGAAAAAAAACTGAAAATCATGGTAAAGGGTAAACAAGTGAGATAGATTGATTCCTTGATGACTAAGCACTTTTAGAGCCATCTCTCTAGACACTTTGAATGAACTAAAATTAGAGTGGACATTTTTGTGTATTTGCCATCCTGGGCCTTCAGGTCAAGTAGGGTAACTGTCTTCCAAATATTCTTTCTACCTCTTTGGAAACCAAGTAGAATTTAAGCTAATCCAGGTAAATGTTGAATAGGTGCATGATTTTTTACTCTGGAAAAGTTGGTTATTTTTTTATAGCTTCTTTTGTGTGGCAAGTGAACCCAGCTATGATTCCTTTAGGCAAGGCTGAGAGCAATAGTAAAAATATTGAAGGAAATTCAAGTTAAAAGGTAAGAAAAAGGCCAATATGGATCATTCATACTTGTATCAAGTGTGCTTTGAAGTTCAAATTGTTTAAATCTTTTGGGGTGCTTTGAAGTTCAAATCTTTTGTCTTTTTTCTGCCCCTCCCCCCTATTCCTAGACTGGTTTATTTGTTGATATATTGCAGAATAGAGCTTAGGCTTAATCAGGTCACAAACTTCGTTGTTTGTTAGTAAAATCTTATTGTTTTGCTGTTGGCGAGCTTGGTATTGTAGGTGTGCAAATGGTCACTCTTCTCCCATAATTTCTGTTATCCATCATACCCTCCCCATCTATCAGTGTTTGTATATATACTTTAATTTATTTGCTATTCATTACTGTCTTTGTTAGAAAATGATGAATGTTAGACAAAAAATATGAATTCAAAGTCCAGTATTACATATTTTGTATGCTGATATATCTGGAATATTTCCAGAAAAAAAGTTATTCATTCTTTTATATCTGATCTAAAGGGTTCTTACAACTCATGCAGAATTTAACTTGCATCAAATATTTAAGCATCTGTTATCACATATGAGCATCAGATACTAAAAATGCTAGAATTGCAGGATTATGCCTGGATGCCTTTCCTTTTCATCTCTTTTTTCTTTCTTTCTTTTTTTTCTTTTTTTTTTCTTTTCAATTTACTAATGTAGCTATTGATTACTTTTCTGAACCCTATTGGCTCAAAACATAGAGGTATACATTTTTGTACTTTTTCGAAACAATTAACTGTTAGCTACTTGGTATTGAGATTTTTTCTCTCTGGTTATATTTTCAGTATTCAGCCATAAATCAAGAAATCACAATGGACAAGAGAAGGAAGAAGAAGTTCCACAAGAACAAGGAAGAGAAGGATGAAAAGAGTATGACGAGAGTTTTAAGGGAAGAATCAGAGATCAATGAGCTTGAGCAAAAGAAATTAGAAGTAAGTTTAGAAAATCTTTACTAGTGAAAAAAAAATAAAACAAAAACATTTGTGTTATTGATTAAAAACCTCTCTCTGATAAGTTCTCTAAGGTGTAAGTGAAAAATTTATATCTGATAATTTACCAAGGCTATAAGTGAAAAACTGTCTAATAATTTACTTCAGTTTACAAGTGAAAGCTATACCTATATCCTTCCAATTTTTTTTCTCAGATGGCAAATGTCAACCCAGATGAAATTGACAGTTTTGCCAAGTTTCCCCTGAGTAAATACACCCTCCTAGGCCTCAAGCATAACGGTTTCACAGTACCAACGAAGGTTCAGCGACAGACTCTAGTGTATTCTTTACGTGGCATGGATGTGGTGGGAGCAGCCAAGACAGGGTCAGGAAAAACATTAGCTTTTATAATACCTGTAAGTGATTGACTTCATTGACTTTTTATTATTTTTTTGGTGTCATGTTGTTCAGTAACTTGAAAGAAAATATATTAAAGATAATGATAGTGCTGATAACGATGATGATTTTTCCCTTGGTGGATGTAATGCATAATTTCTTTTGCAGCTTTTGGAAAATTTATATGTAAAGAAATGGTCAAGTGTGGATGGGTTGGGAGCACTAATCATCACCCCAACACGAGAGTTGGCCTATCAGATATTTGAAGTCCTAAAAAATGTTGGAAAGAGTCATGACTTCTCGGCTGGTCTTATTATAGGTAAGAATCTATTGTTCACAGAGAAGAACACATGGATTGATAAGGTTTACAGTTTTGTTTTTGTTTGTTTTATGCAATACACTAATTCAAAAATCTTTTATTTTAATGACACACTACTTTTTTGTCACTTTTATAGGTGGAAAGGACCTCAAGTATGAGTGGAACCTGATCAGTGGATGCAACATTCTGATTTGCACACCAGGTCGCCTCCTCCACCACATGTTAGAAAACCCAGATTTCAGCTGTGAATATGTTCAGGTCAGTGATTTACAACAGTACTTTCCAGTCTTTTGTCAGTAGTGGCACCTTAAACTTACATAGTCCTTTCTCAAGACCCTTTCTTCATCTTACTAGTTCTGATCCATTAAAATGCCTATAAATTCAAAGCGGCTTTGATGTTTCAAATAATTCTCAAATCACATGTGCTTACTTTGCCTTTTGATTTGATTTATTAATTGTTTACACCATCACTTGCAATAGTAGTTATTTTTATAACTACTATTGCAAGTGATGGTGTAAACATTTAATAAATCAAATTAAAAGGCAAAGTAAGCACATGTGATTTGAGAATTATTTGAAATATCAAAGCCACTTTGAAATTATATGATTTTTGAACACAAAATTTGTTAGTGACACCTATAGTACATTACTTCAGGGAAACATGATTTTAAAATCTTATCCACAGATGCTTGTCCTAGATGAAGCAGATCAGTGCTTGTCCATGGGATTTGCAGAGACAATGAATTGTATTCTTGAAGAGTTGCCGGAAGATAGACAGACTATGCTCTTTTCTGCAACACAAACCAGGTCAGTTACAAACCTCATGATACAGCTGTTAGAAAAAGCAGAACTTTTCTCTGCTATAGCTTTGCTGTTTTCATTACCAGTTTGAGACCAAAAGAAAATATTGTTTCACAGATGTGATTATTATGGCACAGACATATTATTATTATTAATAGAAATAACTTAGTTTAATTTTTTTTTGGAATGTTCACAGGGACGTCAAGGATCTGATTCGGGCAGGATGCAAAAATCCAGTGTTTTGTTCTGTTCATGAATTTTCTAAAACCGCAACACCAAGGGGCCTTGTAGAAAGTTATATTGTTTGTAAATGTGAAGAAAAATTTACATTCCTATGGTCATTTATCAGACATCATAGGAAAAATAAAATTCTTGTTTTTATGTCAACATGTAAACAGGTAAGAATTATATTGTTTATCTTTTTTCCATTGAAGTTTTTTGATATTAACATATGAGAGATTTTATCTTTTAAATTGCTTATTTTCCCCCTAAGCTCAGCACTAAATTATTTGTAATGAATATCAAAGTTTATATAAACAAAAAAGAAATCAATGGTTGTGTCTCAGATGTAATCCAGACACTAATGCCTTCACTTTTTTTTTCAGGCAAAATACATGTTTGATATATATTGTAAACTTAATGCAGGAGTGCCTGTTTTGTGCCTACATGGAGGTATGAACCAATTAAGAAGGCTGGCTGTATATGACATTTTCTGTCAGAAAGAAAATGTTGTTCTCTTTGCAACAGATCTTGCATCCAGAGGATTAGGTAAGGTTATCATACTATTGGATATTTTAGGATATTTTAATGTGCCCAGTTGTATGCACTGTCCGCTGCAGTTTTCTTTTACGTTATTTGCACATAAATGACTTCACAAGTGCTTAACCCATTATCATTAGATATGGCATGCATGTACAGCTACGCAGAAAATATCATTGGAAAATCATGCTAAACATTCATGCACGTGTTGAAATACAGTTGTTAACTCAATGAGACTGTTGGAATCCCTGTTTTTCCAAATACTTTTGGGTATGTGTGGTTTAACTGAATAGTGTAAGGCATATTCAGTTCCTTACGTGAATAGAATCATCATCCATATGAATTCCGGAATGGCAATTTTAGACATGAATTAGAACGAGACAAATTCAAACTGAAAATATCAACCCTTCCATAACATAAGGTCTTGTTCAATATTGAATGTTTCGAGACCACTCCTCACAATACTTTTCTGTAATGTAATGTCCACTGTAATTTTAATTCATTTTGTTTACACATACATGCCTTCAGTATTGCTTAGCCCTACTTATCTCACCTGTTTACTCTTTTCCTTGATTTTTGGAAATACTATTTTAATCTTTTTTTTATTGCTATTAGTATTATTTTTCATAGGAAAGGGAAAACAGGTTTAATCATGTAACCTGCAAATTAACTCCTTGGTGGCTGAGCAGGTACGCAACAATTTCTGTTTAAAAAAATTACAAAACAAACAGGGGACATTACAGATTTCTGGCATTTCATAAGCCCACCTGATCTAACACATTTCACCCATTCTGATTTTGGGGGGTTATTTACATATCAGCATATTAAATAGTATATTTTAAACCTAAAACCTTAGAAAAAATGTAATTTTTTATTATATCTGTGCTTCAGGAATAGTTGCTGTCAAGTAAGGATCTTTTTCATTTGAACATTTCTTTTTGGAAAATGATATAACCTTTCAGTCTTTTTAGAGTATTACCATTCATTTTATGTACTGTACATGCAACTGTGAGAGAATGAGTTGATTTTATTTATTATTGTATGGTTATTTATGAGGTGTTATTACAGATATACCAGCAGTGGATTGGGTAGTACAAATAGACTGTCCTGAAGACGTCACAACATATATCCACCGTGTTGGAAGAACGGCTCGATATGCTAACTCAGGAGAAGCTGTTTTAGTCCTCACACCTCATGAAGAAGAACCAATGCTTGCCAATTTAAAAGCAAAAAATATTGAAGTTGATAGAATTGAGTAAGCCTATATTTGTATGTTTGTTAATTTATGCAGTTGTTAACAAGTGCTGTTTTTCCTTACTTTGCTTCCCTCCCCACACTTTTTTCTTTTTTTGCATCTGTTCAAATCTTTGTCCTAGAAGCAACATTGTATCATGAGAACTATTGGCAATATCTAAGTCACTTTTATTTAACAGGTTTATATTTTTTTCTCTTTCCTCTTTATGTCATGTGGAGTTTTAGCATAATCCAATTTCCTTTATCTTTATGTCCCCATTAATGGTAATAATAAAGCTAAAATTTTGGTCCCAGGGTGGACACATCCAAGATGAGCAGCATCCACACCAAGATGGAAATCATCTTAAGCAAGAACAATGAGCTGAAGGAGGAATCCGTTCGGGCGTTTAAGGCATACGTGAAAAGTGTTACTCTTATGAAGGACAAGAAGGTGTTTAATGTCGACTCAATAGATATCGACGCTTATGCTAGGTATGGAGTAGGAGGGAGTGGAATATTAATTTTTGTGTAAAATATAAATCCCTGTCTATATTTATATTATTACCTTTTAATTTATATAAAAATTTATAATTAATCTCATTTTTCTCTTCCATCACAACTAGGTCACTAGGTTTGGCTGTTACACCTAGACTAAGATTTCTTCAGAATCAAAAGAAGCAGAGACCAAAACAGACTGAAGATACACACAACTGGAATTGCTCAGCAGACGAGAAGCCCTGGAAATCCAAATTTACGACCTTGGACTTTGGAACAGGTATGGTGTCACCATTGATTTAGCCCATAAAGTGAGGACAGTTGATTGAGTGTATTTGTACTACTGACTTTCCAGCTGAATGGGAGAGCAGCCAGCAGTTCTTGGACTACTGCCTTGTCATTCATGCAATATTAGTCTTATAACCTGAAAGTTAGGTGTCCAAGAATCTTATAGGCCTGCTATTTGAAGTTCTTTGGTATTTTTTCATCATTTGGTCTGGAATTAATTGCTATAAAAATAACTGTTGGCTGAATTTTGGACCTTTGACTGCCGTTTTCAGATTAGATTTCAATGGAATCATAATTATGTAACAACAGATTTTTTGGTTAGTTGGATGGGTTCTTGCTTGTGCCTATCTACTTGCACAATTTTATGAATATAAGAAGTATGTATTAAAAATATATATCTTCATATATATTTCTTTTATCTAAAAAAAAAAAAAAAAAAAAAAAAAAGAAGTATATATATATATATATATATATATATATATATATATATATATATATATATATATATATATATATATATATATATATGTGTGTGTGTGTGTATATATATAAAGCATCTTTAAATCATGCACAATTTTTTTTCTTAAGAAGCTTGAAAATAATTTTAGTTGTGATATTTCAAGTTTTAGAATATATAAATAAATGGGTTTTCTATATGTAAGAATAAAAAGAGGGAGAGAAAAAAGTGAACAGTATATGCAATAGATTGATTAATGCGCCTTTTCTGTCTTTTTTTTCTGTGTCTCTGTTTGATGTTTCTAATAATAATTTGGCTCAAATTTCATAGTTCTTTTTCTTGTAGATTTCTAATAATTATTGCTATGTTCCTCCTCTCCTCTGCAGAAGATTTATGGTATTATTCTTCTCTCCTTTCTTCTATTTTCTGTCATATTTTCTTTTCTTTTCTGGTTCTGTCATGTTTTCCTCCTTTGTTTATTCTTTGTTTTCCAGTCCCTTTCCTGCAGGCTTTGTAGTGTTAGAATTGATATGCATCTGTTCTAATTGATTGTTAATAGTTATTATTATTAGATGTTACTTCATTGTTTTTATGTCATTTTCATTATAATTATACCTACACAGCACCTATTACTATTATCATCATTGCCATCATTATCAATTTTTGACACTGCAGAAGATATTGATGAGGAGGACTTCTTAACAAGCACCAAGAAAGAACAAGCTGAAATTATACAGGAGGAGGAGGAGTCCTCAGAATCAGCATCATTCCCTGAAGATCTTGTTGTCAGTTCCAAGAAAAAGCCCCTGACCAAACAAGCTGTCGTCAAGAAGCTAATGAAGAAGAACATTGTCCTCAACACCAAGATTGTATTCAATGAAGAGGGCGTGGAGGTGAAAAACCCCGAGAAACAGCAGGTAAGATTAGTCAGTATTTTGGAGCTGTATTTCATAGTATTAGTTGTAGTATGTTACTCTTAATATTATTATTATTTATTTATTTATTATTTATGTATTTATTTATTTATTTTTTTTTTTTTAAGATATAATCCATATGGCTTATTACTTGTCAGTCTTTGATGGATACATAAAATTAATGATGTAATTTTCTTTCAAGTTACAAGACACTTCCAGCTATAGTTTTCATTGTTCATTTTGTAAGTTGTTAATCAGTGTAGCTCAAATTAGATGAGACAGAAAGGTACTTCTTTTGGCAGCCAATGAATTCTTGCAACATTCCTCTTGTAAAGGTATTACTTCCTACAGTGAATATTTTCTTTTTATCATTATTGTTGTCATCTGTTTCAAATTGATGTTGGTATCTTTGTAAGTTAGCAAAAGATGTAATATGTAATATTTATGTTTAATAAGTCATATTTATATACATTTGAGAGACTGACAGTGGAATTCAACAGAAAAGTCTGGTCAAGGGCCAGTCATGATGCAGATTAAGTTGATTATATTATTGTGGCTGTTTATGCTTGTCACTTTTATCAGCAAGGTTAACCCTTTTCCTCCACATGGCATGTGTGTCATGTCATCTCTAGAATGGTCATCTCACAAGGATATGTATTTCATGTTTTTATTATCCCAATTTGGGCAGTCTATAGAGCTTCAATCATCAGTAGTGCTAAGGCATTAATACTTTATGCAAATCTGTATCAAAGCCACAAACCAGACCTGTATAGGTGCATCTGTGGCATGAAAAAATAAATGCCGGTTGTTCACACGCAGCTCACACTATCTTGAATACAGATGGCCCTAGAGGGAAGGCATAGGGTTGAGGTAGTGCAGGTTTCTATATACATTGAGCTGGAAACTATTCTAGGGAAGGAAAAAAAAATGGTGTTTGAAAAAGAAAAACAAAAACTTCTCTTTCAAATTTTTCAAGAGGAATTTACCTATACTTTTTTTTTTTCCCAATAGACATCAGAGGTTGCGCAACAGCTGGAGGATCAAAAAAGTGGAATCAATATTACACAACTGCAAGAGATCATGAAGCAAGAAGATGTCATTGACAGAAAACTAGAAGCAAGCAAAAAGAGGGAACAGAAAGAGTAAGTTTTTTGTTTCTTTTGAGGAATATGCAAATTTTTTTCATTGTTTTGCATCCTTCTGGTGGAAGGTGGAATGTATTTTGAAATCAGTGATGATCAAAAATTATTTCAAGTGTAAAAATAGTGTATGTTATATTAATTATATTAAGAAATGTTTAGTTCATCACTGCCAGGGTTTTGCATGTCATTGGACATGAAAAAAAGGATATGTTCATGTATTTCTCATGACACCTTGTTATCATATTCTTTTGTTATTTTTCAGAATTAAAAAAAGAAAAGAGATGGCCAAGAAGGCTGAAGAAAAAATTGAAGTTGAAGACATGGTGGAGGAAGGAGACGAAGAAAGTGATGTTGATGAAAGGACTCAGAATATCATTGACTCCCTCCCTGACCCTGACAAGATCTATGGGCGTAAAAAGAGAGACTCGGATTCAGATTCAGATGATGAGGTTTCTAATAAGAGCAGTGATGAAAGTGATGATGGGAGAGGTGCTGCTGAAAGTAGTGAAGATGATAGCAGTAGTGAAGAAAGTGAACCAGAAAAGAAAGTCAAAATAAGGTGAGTTCTTTTCTTTTCTTTTCTTTTCTTTCTATCTCTATTCTCTTTTCTGGGAATCTTGTCTATCATTGCCTCTTGTATACACCTTCATTTAATTATATTAAATTCATTAATTTATTTTCTATACATATCCATATATGTATACAATATATTTATAATGCAAGTAAAACTAAGGGCAAGTTCTGATGAGCCAGACTGATCAGTGGGGCATGCTTGAGAAGTAACATCAGGTATGGGTAAACTACTAGCTAAACATCAGCTTCCACTCTCTGATTTTTTTTTTTTTTTTGGGGGGGGGGCTAATAGTATCCATGCCTCAGACTTGTTTTTGTTTACATTGATGGCTCCAGAAGCGTTACTTACTGCATGATTTCACATCTGTACCCTTTTTACTTTACTTTCAAAGATTTTTTCTATCATCATTATCAATAGCATCACCATGATGTCCATAACAACAGTAATAATGATATTAGCATCAGTAACTATAATATCAGTAAATATAACAATTATATCAGATTTTTTTTTTTTATTGACATGCAGCATTGCCAGCATATATCTCATTTTGTTAGGTTGTAATATATTGAAAATACATTTTATTCATTTCACCATGGAGAATACTCTTTTTTTCTATATATGATGATAATCTTTTCATTATATCAATTTCATCCTTACTATGAAATTAATTGAAACAAATAGAAGAAAAAGTTACAAAATATTATACATTTTTTTTTTTTTTTTTGACAGTTTCAGGAGGTTAGTATTTAATTCAAGGAAACTTTGATAGTGGGTACATAAGGTATATTTGTAGATATTCTGTTTTTAAAATGCATGTCTCTTCTTTAATTATTTGATGAAACTATCCGCAGTTGAATTTCATAACTGATTTGTATTCTTTCAGTGGCAAAAGAAAAGCTCGCATGAAGCTCAAAGAAGCAAAGAGAGCAAAATTAGTTCAGAGTAACACCCTGACAAGTCTTCCAGTTGAAGAAAAGGAGCAGTTAGCATTATTCTTGCTAAGAGGAGGAAGGAAATGAAAAATGTAAATATAACTATACAAATATATATAGTATGGAAATGATTGTTTCATTTATATATTTATTTGGTAAATAGCTTCCAGAGGGTAGTAAATATTCATGTCTCTATTTTTGCATCATAATCTTTATTTGTCATAGAAAGACAGCCTGTACATCAAGCTGGCAAAATGATAACAATATATCCCATATGTACAATAATGTTATATGTGAGTTTTTATTATGGTAATATCAGTAATCTGGTACATTGCAAAAGGTCAAGCCAGTCCAACAATTTGCCTATGAAGCATCAAACATCTGACAGAATCAGTGTGCTGACTAGAGGTCAATTTCCACAATGAAGTATACAGTTTAAATTAAACTAAACTGTATCTTGCTATCTGCATTAACTGTTGTGCACACATTACACTGAATAAAATTATAAATTATATTTCTGGATATCCTTTGAAATCCTGATATCTTTAGACTAGCAGTTGCTATGCTAAAATGCCTGGAGACATAGATGCCTCAGTCTGGGACAAGTTCAATTACTTATTTAAGTGTGGGATTAGGTATATATTACACAGATTATTATTTTAACATGACTTATATACAATGTATTTTACACAGGGTTATATACGTGTGACTACATCTGACTAAATGGCACTGTATAATTTGTTTAGTTTCTTATAACAGCTACTAAATTACATAAGTACCAATGCCTCTGTACACATACATAGTATGAGGTACGCAGGACAAGTTACAGAATAGATGGTCTGGGCTTCTTCATCCTCACTGATCCATTTGGAATGCATGTGTGTACACTTGAAAGACTAGAATATGGCTAGATACAACCTGACTTGCCCATGATCATCTATACCTATGTGGAAGATGAAAAATGAGGTTGTTCATGTAACTGTCACACCTCCACTCCTGAAATATTTAGCTCAGGACGTGAGGTTCTACGAGGTCTGAACAGTTGACCAAGGAAGGATGAATTTGAGGTCAGAGAACGCCGTTGCTGTTGCTGTTGTAGATCTCCCTGGCTGGCACTGGTGGTGACAGGTTGTTGAGGACCACTGGCAGGAGACGTTTCATTGGAGGCACTAGTGGACTGGAAGGACACAGACATGCCAGAGTCGAGGGAGCCAACACTGCCCCGACGCACTGACCGCCCACCACCGTCTGTGAACCACACCACCACTTACACCACTGCACGCCATTTTGTATATAATCATTGGTCATCAAATTTTGTTTAAAAAAAAGCAATTTGACTTTCATGAATTCTGTTCATTTTCTATTTATGAATATTTTAATTCCAAATTTTACAATGTGATACATTAGTTTAGTTATGCTTTACTCTGTAAATAATACAAATACTACAATTACTGCAATAAGTCCACTACTCTCCAGTAGTCTATTATACTGAATACAATAAAAAGCAGTGCAGCTCTTCAAAATGTGCTAGTATCTATAGTAGTGGATACTTCAAAATATACTGTGGTGAACTACAGTACACCAGTTACTGTAAGTGCAGTGGTGGTTGAACTGTGGTAAGGGAGGTGGGCAATACATGTGCATCGGGAGCAAAATATACCTTACATCTATATATAAAACTATCGTGGAAGTGCATGGTGAATATGTTAAACATATTCAATAATGAATTAAAAATGCCATCTATATCCTACTCTTAAAATAAATTTACTTGGCTTTGATAATATTCTAAGGACATACATTCTCACCATGGGTTATTGCATAACTTTAATATATATTTATGATATTAAATCAAATTTGTGGTGGTCATAAAAAAAAATAAAAATTAAATAATGTGCATTTGTAATTTTTTGCATTTTGTGATGTGAAAAAATGAAACATTACTCATGCATTTTATGATAAATAGTAATTTAACTGTGCAATTATAGCATTCTCAAATACAACTCTATGGCCTAAATGTTAAAATGAGGAAATATTTCTGAACATCTTTTATTCACCTTTCCAACTACTTTAAATTTGCTATAATACTATTTTGGTACAGTTCTAGTTTTTACTATAGTTAGTAAGAATACAATCTACAGAAGTTTAATAACTTAACCTTAACATCAGTTTTTATTATCACTAAAAATAACAAAGTTCAATTTACTGATGTAAAACTACTAGTCTTGAGATATATTTACTTCAAACTTCATTTGAAGTCATTAGTTTTTTTAACAAAACTACAAATAAGTTATAATTAGTGCCCGAGTTAGTAACTTAGTATATATTAGCAAAATATAATATACATGACTTCCATGCAAATAAATCATGATGTAACTTACCAGCCTCATGGATGTCCAATAGTGAGTTACTTAGAGCTGATCTCTTTAGAGTAGAATCTGATTTCAGTGTTCCATTCTTCTCATTTGTAGTCAATAACTCCATATCAGCAACTCCGGAGTCTCTGTTCTCAGTTGTAGAGTTGGGCCGTGATGCCCTCAAAGAAGCCTTTTGCTTCTCCAGCTCACCCTCAATTCTTAAAGATTCCATCTCATCCATTTCACATACGCTCTCCTTCAGATCCTCACAAAATTTGGTGCGATCATGCTCATTCCGCGCATTGAAAATAATCAAGACTTTGTTATCAACTCTTTGACGCACTTCCATGAGATATGGATAATCTGGAAAGAAAAAACAAATTTTAGGTTTACCAATTCTTTTGATCATTACCCTACATTAACATTTATAATTAGATAAGTACTAAGCTAATATTACCACTTTACAAGGAAAAACATTACTTACGTGGCACCTCCTTTGTGGATATCACAAGACCAGCTAGAGGATAGCTTTGCCTAAAGGTGTACGTGACAGAATTTTTCTTCTTGGAGAAAATCTTTGTTACAACCAACAGATCATTGAAGAGGAAGACTTCACGCTGGTGGACTCCAACTCTCTCTTTCTTGGTGATGTCAGGAATTTCATACAGTCGGCAGTAGCAAACTAGGCGACGGTGAGGTAGTGCCAAGTTTGGTTTCTTACCTACCATCGTCTGTTGTACCTGTAGAATAGGGAGATTCCATCAATATACAATAGGTTATGTACCCTTTCCTTAAACACTGAATTTTTTGTATTTATAATAAAATTACAGGTCCATGTGTAAAGGGCTTTTTACCTTTAGAACCTGGGTAACATGATCATGGCCAGGTCTGAACTCCTGCGCCTTGATGCGCTGATACATTCCTTCCAGCATTTCACGCTCAATGTCATACCCATCATCAATACCTGTTAAGCACAAAATACAATTAGATGTCCAAATTATCAAAATACCCATGTATCCAAAATTCAACACAAAAATGGCAATAAAAAAGAACATTTTTTTAAAACTGCTCTTTCCAGTTGGAATGTTCATTTCATATTACAGGTGTTCAGAAAAAAAAAATTACCTCTTAAATTCTTAATAAAGTCCTCAATCTTCATTCTCTTTTCTTGTTTCATGGATGCAGTATGAAGATCTGTGTTAAGCATAATAATGGCAAAGGCTAAGACAAAAATGGTTTCAGGATCTCTTAGCTTTGCCACAATGTCTCTGTTACACTGACAATACCGCTGAGCAAACACCTGCATAAGGCGTTCAATCTTTTGTGCTTCTCCTGGCATTCGGAAGTGTGTCTGGAACTTACGCAGAGCCACATCCACCTGCATACCAGACAGGTCGATCTCTTGTGCAAAACACCTGTATCATGGGAACAATATTGATTAATATCTATTTCTATAAAGTCATTTTCATACATTTCAAATATCTAAAATATTAGGGGGGAAAATCTTAAAATGAGACCAACTGAAATGTTTACTCACTCAAGTACAGCCATGTTAAAGCTGTTCTGAAGATTGCCAAGATATTCTCCAATCATCTGCTTGCTTAAACCTTTTCTTGTTAATAAGAACTTGGCTACAGCTTGAGGGGAATTTTCTAAGAAGCCTCGTCCTATCAGGTAGGTCACACCTCTCTCTGGTTTCTTGTTGAAGAGATTCAGGCCAACACGATATTGTCTCTTTCGAACAACTTCTGGCACCTGTTTGTTTTTAGAGGATTGTTAATTTTACAGGCAATATGTGATATTTACAACTTAATTCCTTTTATTTCTTACTGTGGACAGAAAACAAAATTACTGTGACATAAATATTGACACATGGCAAACATCTGCTGGGAAAAGATTGAAAGGTAAAAATAAGAAAGAAAAGAAACAAAAACCAAACTTAAAACTGTGTACTTGTGGCCTTATGGAATATGAACTAAATAAAAGAGTTGTCTACTCTACCTTGGGCATGTGAGGAGTATGGGTATAATGAGCATGAGCGTAGCGTGCAGAGTGTGGGATCTGTGAGGGGATGGTTTGAGAGTAAGTCATTCCTTCCGAGGAATGGGACTGCAGGGAATCTTCTGAGTTTTCGCTGATGTTGCTCAACCGCTTATCGTCATAGATGACCTCACTTGTGCTCATCTGCTGGTGGAATTGTGAAACTCATTTTCTTTTTGGTTCTGCTGCACATTTATGGTCCATCTTACAGCTACTGGAGCCTCAGATGAAAACTCAGATGTTAAACAGATCACTCACTAAGAACACTATTGAGAGCTGAGTCAATTTTCTCGGTAGCAAAAAAAGAACTTGAAACAAAAATGTGAGATGATTCATTCATTACTCTTTAAATCAAAGCTGAAAGCAAAACTGAATCAAAGAATAAATCATATCATTGTAAAAATAGCCTAGCTGAATGTCTTCTGTTGACGTTGCAAATTTCACAGACAGCCCTTTGAAAGTACAGTACATTATGGCCTCATTCTGAGAAAACAAAACTGAGAATCATGCAATAGATGAGTTGCAACCATTCAAAAATCAACTTTCAGAATGCAGAAAAGTTGGCAATTAAATTTTCTACCTGATTCTTGCGCTTCCATATTGGGGAAGTGGGATGGTAGTCTGAATTATCAACTTGGTCATGGGTTGATAGGGGAGTAGCGCGATCAGACGTAGACTGAGAGAGTGAAGAGTCTGAGCCCGAGGACTGAACACTGGACAGAGAGCCATTGTCTGCAGACCTGTGTAAGTAGAGGGAGTAGTTAGTTCTGCAAAACTACAATTAAACTTACATACAATAAAAATTACTCGCCTTATTACTTCAGCACACATAACATTATGGTTTTAAACTACAACTGTTTACCTTCTAAGTGCGCCTCTGTCACTGTGTCCTCCTTCTGATGTGAGGGATGAGGGAGTAGATGAAGGTGGTGTCAAAGATGGTGGATGACACTGTACTCTATGGTTGGCTGTTGATAGCGCCGCAGCACTGCAAAGGAATAAACTATTATATTTTCTGGCACGAAATTCCTGATTTCATATTAAAAGATACTGAAAAGACATCATCGACGCCTCTAATCCAATTACAAAATGAACTATGGTAAAAGAAATAAAGGCAACAAGTAGATTCAACATGATGGCAAAATGTCAGTCCCAATAAAATGTCAATAATACTTCATCGTGACACCGACCTGTCCACACTACCACTGCTCTCACTGGACTTGATGGAAGACGAGCGTCGGGGGACCTCTGGCGGGATCTTCTTGCCACGCCCAACTCCTCGCCTCTGATTGACCACCGTCAAACGGGCCATGTTTGCACTGTCCTGACTTCCCTGATAGAGGAGGAAGAAATGTAAGTTTGCACATGATATATATGATCCCATGTAATGCAGCATTTGAATGGTATCTTTGAAACGATATTCATGGGGAGTTTCAGCATAAGAGAACATCCTACATCAAAAATCAGTACTTACGAAGCCGCCCTCGTCCGACGAGATGTACTTGATATCCCTGGAAG